TCTTTGCACTTACTATTTACTGTCTAGAATGCTCTGTACACATACTTGCATTGCCCACTCTCTTACTTCATTAAGTATCACCTCAGTGAGACATTTCCTGACCACCCTGTTTCACTCCCAGTCCCCCTTCCCTGCTTTTTTAATCTTTTGCTCCATAGCATTGATCACTATGGTATCTTCAGGGTCCACATCACTGCCTGGCACCCAGTAGGCACTTAATAAATATGTGTTACATGAGGGAATGTAGTCCCTGTCTCTCTCTGAGCTTAGAGACAGAGGCAGAAGGCAATTAAGCCACTGCAGTATAATGCTGTCATAGAAGTGGTACCTGCTGTAGTCTGAATGTTTGTGTCCCCCGCAAATTCATTATGTTGAAAAATTAATGGCAGGATTTCCCTGGTGGTCCAGTAGCTAAGGCTCCAAGCTCCCAGTACAATTCCTGGGGCCCAGGTTCAATTCCTTGTCAGGGAACTAGGTTCCCACATGCCACAACTATGCTGCAATCAAGACGGGAGACCCTGTGTGCCACAACTAAGGCCCAGCACAACCAAAAAAAAAAAATATTAAAAAAAAATGTGGCAGTTTGACCCAAGAGCTTGAGGAAAGAGATAGGAGTTATACAGGTGTCTGGGATGGGATTGGTGGGCGGGAGGTTTGAGGAGGTAGGAATTTGGTTTGTGAGAGTGAGACAAGAGGAAAAGACATCTTGGAAAAATAAAAAGAATGTGTGAGAAAACTGTCCAGCCCAGAAGGAACCAATATTTATTCACAATTTGTTAAACCCCCTGTCTCATGGATTCTCTCTTCTTTGCAGTTCTGGTTTCTCTGGCTCCTGCTCTCTCTAAGAGGAAGACAGTATGATTAAGCTCCAGGTAAGCTAAAGTTTCCTTTCTTTCTCTTAAATGCCATGTCCATTCTGAGAAGCTGGATATCTCTATTTTCCAAAAGGAAGTCAGCAATTTTTGAGAGACTTCTGTGTGGTAGGCACTTTACCTTATTTATAACAGCTGGGAGAGGTAGTGTTATTATTCCCTTTGGAGAAATTAAGAAACAGGCTCAGAAATGTCACGCTGTCTGGTTCAGGGCTGCTCCCAAGTTCAGTTTGCTTACCAGTGCCAGTCGATGAGCTGCTTGTCCCTGGGCCATGAGAGATAAGTACAGAAATCAAGAGTAAGGGACTTCCCTGGTGATCCAGTGATTAAGAATCCACCTTGCAATGCAGGGGACTGGGTTCAATCCCTGGTCTGGAACTAAGATCCCACATGCTGTGGTGCAACCAGCATGCTGAAAGGCAGCCAAATACATAAATATTTTTAAAAGAAAAAAGCAAGGGTTTGGAGAATTCCTTGGTGGGGCTAGAATTCTGTGCTTTCAAACTTGTGGCCCCAGGTTCAATTCCTGGTCAGGGAACTGAGGATTTGTAGCAAAAAGGTAAAAAATTAATGACTGGTACAGCAGCTTCCAGTGTAGCTCTTTTTCCAGAAGTCATTGGTGCAGATGATGAACGTGGCATGTGCTTGATGTTTTAGGAAACCTTGACCTTCAAGGACGTGGCCATGGTCTTCTCCAAGGAAGAGCTGGCACTCTTGGACTCTGCCCAGATAAACCTGTACCAAGACATGATGCTGAAGAACTTCAGGAACCTGGTCTCCGTGGGTGAGGACAACAAGCCCCTGTAACTAAGCATCAAACCACTGGTCCCATTTTCTCAAGTGATCAGCTTCAAACTGGATAGAATATTCCTGTTGGAGCACAAAGGGAAACCTCCTAAGAGATACACATGCAGATGACAACCTGCAGTTAATGAGTTTTAGCAGATAACTGTGAGCGGGTGGTCGCTTGTGACTTGTGGTTGGGTGAGGGAGCTCTCCCCTGCCCTGTGCCCCCTGCCTGCAGGCATCTGATGCAGTTGGCAAGCCTACATTGATCTCATCACAAGTTTAGGCTCTCATTCCCTCATATTTTCCAGAACAAGACTGAGGAAGTTCACATTATCAAGGCCTTGGTCCCTTGGTTGCGTCTAGAATAAAACCAGTGTGGCTTTTTTTCTTTTTTAAACCAATGTTTTGGACAGACTGGTATTAAAGGAACCAATTTAGGATCTGGTTGGTAGTCAGTACACTATGAGTGTCCGTTTATTTGCTCTCTTGCTGATCCATATCTATCCTAGCTTCAATTTCTCAGAGCCCTGTATACAGCTATCTATGACCTCTGTTTAGTTTATGAGATAGCTGCTCTTATTGTCCCCCTTCTACAGAGCAAACAACTGAGGCACAGAGTGGATGAGTAACTTGCCCAGGATCACCCAGCTTGTCAGAGGAACTAGGATTTGAACCTCCCAGTCTGACCCTCAGCCCTGTGCTTATAATAACCAGGTGACGTAAAGTACTGCTGTGTCCATAAATTGTAAACAGGGCTCCTTGGCCTAAATGTGCAGGACTGACCCCCTTGGTGAGTCCTGAAATCAAGTGACCATGTCATAGCTAGCAGTTTTTAAAAAGCAAAACAAATCCATGGACTAGAACACAAAAGGATTTATCAGAGTACATTGCACCTGGTAAGGTAAGTCTCAACTGATCACAGTATTTTAGTTTCTGGTCTGTGTCTCTGTGTAGGTACTGGGTCACAGTGTAAATGCTTTTCTTGCTATGGGTACAGTCCAAATAGTTGGAAAACTACTGCTTTAAGCCTGTTCCTGTTTCCTCTGACACCACTTTATGAACCAAAGTCACTCAATAAAATGAATCAGAAAACTACCTTGAACTAGAAGCAGTGTCCAGGTGAGATTTGTGACATTTTGTGAAGCCTGTTTTTGGGTGCCAAGGTGTTGTGACCATCAACCCTCTATTTCTTATGAACCTTTCATACAGTCTTGCTTCCCTGGGTGCCAGGCTGTGAACAGTTCCATACTGCCCATTCTCCTAGCCATGGCTATTAGAGATTCTGCAATAACCTCAAAGGGGAGAAGTTGGGAATTGGACTACAGGGTCTTGATGGATTTTGTCTCTTCACAAAGCCAGAGAACCTTGGAAAATAAAAAGGATGTCTTATATTTCACAATTTTATCCCCATTTCAATCCCCACTGCAGCTGTAGGCCCGCTGTGTACAGTTGTGCAGATTGTACACAAATATACATGATAGTTCTATCACATTTAATAGTTGATGTAAAGGAAAGGACTGGTTAGGAGAGAGGACTTGTTGCTTGCTTCTGCAACCTTATGCGGGATCCTGGAAGGTCTCTGTGGTCCTTTATATCTCTCACCATGTCCAGAACTCCATTATTATATACACTACATGAATCATATGGGAGCCTTCCCCTTAGGTTTGGGGTTTTTGTTTTGTTTTTTACATATTTTTGTTCTTCTAACTTCATTTCATGTAATAAAGAGTCATATGGTGTAGTAGCTATGATGATTCTTTCTAATGTATACTCACCCCTTCAGTCAGAAACAGCAATAACCAAGAAAATGTTGAAAATGAATTTACAATGAACAACAAATTTTAAGTATAGAAAGGGTGCATTCCATTTCAGTGTGGTTCAATATGTACAGTGTTTAAAAGCGCATCTCCCTTTAAAGCCTCACAGATGTACCTAATTCTTACAGAAGTACCCACACAGAGATTTATTAAGTTTTAAAGTTGTCTCACAAGGAATATGTGCTTAAAAACTATAAGAGCTTGTGTATTTTGGAAGCAAAGTTATTCTAGATAAATTTATTTTTAAATATTGCTGAAAAAAACTACAGGCTTTAGAGGTCATGGATATCAAATCCATTACTTAAAAACAAATTAGCAAAATGACTAAAGTCTTTTTATGGATGACTCTAATAGCAGAAAGGTGAATTTCTTCCTTTATAAATTGTTTCCAGTATTTATTTTGATGCATCTGCAGTCAGTGGTTTTTGATTGGCAGCTCACAGATTAGAATGACTAGGTTTCTAGTTGTTTCATACACAACTAGGATCCAGTGGCAACTTCTCATCCCACCCAGCTTCATATCCTCAGAGCCTTTGGATAGATGATTTACTTGTTTGCTTAACCAAATTCTCTTTCTTCTCAGAGAAGACAGGATTAAAAACCCTAACCTTATGAACCTTTGGGGAAAAGGCTTGAGTTACCTCTCACCAGAAGTGCTCTACTTTTGACAAATTTGGAACCAAAGGATCAGTGAATTGATCGTGAGTCATGATTATGTTATTATGAATCTGCAAGGAGATTGTCCCCAGTATTTAGGAGACATTTCCCTCTGTGAAGAGTGGACAGGAGTGTTCTAAAGATTTCTGAAAATGAAAACCATGTAATAAATGCCATTTATTTAGAAAATCAAGACACTACAGCTTGGAAAAGCCTGACACAGGTCCTTACCCGAGAATCTTGGAAGAAAGGCAACCTAATGACTGAGCCCCGTAATCCTCAGAGAAAGCAGATAGAAGAGAAACTGGATGGATGTGCTTGGTGTGATGACAGCTTCCTTCAGACCTTGCGTGATTATGATGATTCCCAAGAATGTAAAGGAGAGGAACTTTGTAGATACACCAACTGTGGGAAACATTTGGTTATAAAGTCAACAGTCAAACACAGTCACATGGTCCATGCAGTGTGGCACGCTTTCAGATGTAATAACTCTTTAATGGGCTTCACAGATGATGCTCGTGTTCATCACAGTGCTAACACGGGAGGAAAATCTTATAAACACCATCTGTATGGAAGGGACTTTAGCCAGAGCTCAGAGCGTACTGTTCACGATAAAACCCATTCAGGGGAGAAAACTTGTGAAGGTCAAGAGTGGGCTCAGGGCTGCAGACAGAACTCAGACCTTCCTAGGAATCCCAATGGCCCTCCAGGAGACAAGCCCTATAAATGCATGGAATGTGGCAAGGGCTTCAGTTGCAATTCCTCTCTTCACAACCATCACCAAGTCCACACGGGGGAGATGCCCTACACCTGTGATGTGTGTGGGAAGGGGTTTGGATTCGGGTCACTCCTGTGTATCCGTCAGAGGGTCCACAGTGGGAAAAGGCTGTATAAGTGCACCGAGTGTGGGAAGGACTTTGATCAGAGCTCCAACCTTCTTGTCCATCAGAAGGTCCACACAGGGGAGAAACCCTACAAATGCAGCGAGTGTGGAAAATGCTTCGGTTCCAGCTCAGATCTCCAAGTTCACCAGAAGCTGCACACGGGGGAGAAGCCTTATAGGTGTGATGAGTGTGGGAAGAGGTTCAGCCAAAGCACACACCTGCACATTCACTAGAGGGTCCACGTTGGGGAGAAACCCTACAAGTGTGATGTGTGCAGGAAGGCTTTCACCTACAGCTCAGTTCTGCATACTCATCAGAGAGTTCACACAAGAGAAAAGCCTGACACATGCCAAGTGTGTAGTAAGGACATCAGTTACAGCTCCTATGTTCACTTATATCAGAGAGATCACACCGAAGAGAAGCCATATAAATGCGACAAGTGTGGGAAGGGCTTCAGTTGGAACTCAGATCTTCACGTTCATCTCTGAGTCCACACAGGAGAGAGGCCCTATTAGTGTAAGGAGTGTGGGGAGGGCATCAGTTGTAACTCATATCTTCTTGCCCATTAGAGAGTTCATAGGGATGAGATGGACTATGCATGTCATGAGCACGACAAGGCTCAGGAAATATATAGCTTGGACTTTCTTACTCAGCTAAGACTGCACAAGAGGACAGAAACATTATAAATGTAGCCGGTCTGGGTTCAGTGAGGAAAACAGAAGCCACTCTAGGTGTTCCAGATGATAGACACTTATTCAGCTATTGGGAGGGTTGGAGGAGCAAAGGACAGGAACGCTGCCACCCATGATGTCAGCATGCAGCACTAAAGCACATGTTTCTTAAGGACATTCCAGGAAACTACTGTGGCTGTCAACACCTTCCTTGAAATGCCCATCAGCTGTCATAGGCCAAGAAAGTTTCTTGACAAATGGGCTGTTTGTGGCAATGACAGTAGTTAGAGGTCAAATTTCCATTAATGGGTGTGCCCAGGAAGGAAATTCTAACTGGGATGGGGCCAGCAAGAACTTCAGTCCAGCCAAAACCTGTAGGTGTTTTTGCTTTTGTTTTTGTTTGTTTTTAGAATCTCCTCTAGAAATGTATTCTCTGCTAAGAACATTCAAAACAGTGCTCAGAAATGAAAGCTGTGTTATTAGTATGGTAAGAATTAGGCCATACTCAGGTTTTCAAATCCATTAGATTCTTCATACAGTCAAGAATCTCTATGGAAGTGATATTCTAAGGGTGTGACAGAGACACTGATATGTATTCATATTCCTACTGGTTCTATTTTCTGGCACACAGTAAGGACTCCATTTCCCAGCAGGCCTTGCAGTTAAGGATGGGTCCATGTGATTGCATTTTAACCAGTGGAGTGTGAGCAGAAGTGATTTAGGCTACTTCTTGGACTGGCCTTTGCAAAAGCATCTTGTGATGTCCTCTAGGCTTTTCCTTACTTGTGCTGATCTTGTAGGCTGTTTCTTCCAAACTGGAATAATGGGAAAACTGGGTATCTGTGTTGGAATTTTTTTTTAATGAGAAATAAACATTTATTGTCTTACACTACTGAGATTTTAAGGCAATGCCAAAGAATGCTCAAACTACCACACAATTGCACTCATCTCACACGCCAGCAAAGTAATGCTCAAAATTCTCCAAGCCAGGCTTCCAACAGTGCATGAAGTGTGAACTTTCAGATGTTCAAGCTGGATTAAGAAAAGGCAGAGGAAATTGCCAACATCTGTTGGATCATCGAAAAAGCAAGAGAGTTCCAGATAAATATCTAGTGCTTTATTGACTATGCCAAAGCCTTTGACTGTGTGGATCACAACAAACTGTGGAAAATTCTTAAAGAGATGGGGATACCAGACCACCTGACCTGCCTCCTGAGATATATGTATTCAGGTCAGGAAGCAACAGTTAGAACTGGACATGGAACAACAGACTGGTTCCAAATTGGTAAAGGAGTATGTCAAGGCTGTATATTGTCACCCTGCTTATTTAACTTATATGCAGAGTACATCATGAGAAATGCTGGGCTGGATGAAGCACAAGTTGGAATCAAATTGCCAGGAGAAATATCAATAACCTCAGATATGCAGACGACACCACCCATATGGCAGAATGTGAAGAGGAACTAAAGAGCCTCTTGATGAAAGTGAAAGAGGAGAGTGAAAAAGTTGGCTTAGAGCTCAACATTCAGAAAACAAAAATCATGGCATCTTGTCCCATCACTTCATGGCAAATAGATGGGGAAGCAATGGAAACAGTGAACAACTTTATTTTGGAGGGCTCCAAAATCACTGCAGATGGTGACTGCAACTATGAAATTAAAAGACGCTTACTCCTTGGAAGAAAAGTTATGACCAACCTAGACAGCATATTAAAAAGCAGAGACATTACTTTGCTAGTCAAAGCTATGGTTTTTCCAGTAGTCATGTATGGAAGTGAGTTAGACTATAAAGAAAGCTGAGTGCCGAAGAATTGATGCTTTTGAACTATGGTGTTGGAGAAGACTCTTGAGAGTCTTGGACTGCAAGGAGGTCCAACCAGTCCATCCTAAAGGAGATAAGTCCTGGGTGTTCATTGGAAGGACTGATGTTGAAGCTGAAATTCCAATACTTTGGCCACCTGATGCAAAGAATTGACTCACTGGAAAAGACCCCGATGCTGGGAAAGATTGAAGGTGGGAGGAGAAGGGGTCGACAGAGGATGAGATGGTTGGCATCACCGACTCAATGGACATGAGTTTGAGTAAACTCTGGGAGTTGGTGATGGACAGGGAGGCCTGGTGTGCTGCAGTCCATGGGGTCACAAAGAGTCCCACGCAACTGAGCAACTGAACTGAACTGACTGAGATTTTGGCAGTTTATTTGTTACAACATTTCTTAGGGTGTCCTGACTAGTACAGAGATATTTAATAGCAACAAACTTCACAGTCACTAGCATCCACACAAGAAAGCAACTGTAGAATTCAGAGTTAAAAACTTTTGAATCTTTGCACCAATTTGTGGCAGTACAGACATTTAAATGGTCTAAGTAGGAATTCTTCAGTGAGAATCGCCATTCATCATAGAAGTGTTCCAAGTGATGTACATGTGGTAAAACGTTGACCACAAGTGCAGTCTATACCATAAGAAATTCCATGCAGTAGAGAAACTTGATAATGTGTAGCAAAAAAGTTAGTCAGCTTGCACCTTAAATACAATTTTTTTTAATTAAGTAAAACTAACATTTACAGAAGTGAGTAATAACTTACAGAGGGCCAAGCCAAAGTGTCCATTGTTAGAAGCAGACACCACTCTTTCTCAGCGTCAAGTTCCTACCAAAACTGTGATTCAGTTTGGGATTATAGCTGGATTTTGGAGGAGGACATACCTTTACAGTATCTTTATCTTCAATAACGATGTATTTTTGTATCTGTTTGTTTATTTTGATATTTTATCTCTAGTTTTCTTTCCTTTTTAAAATAATATTTATTTGTCTGCATCAGGTCTTAGTTGTGGCCCAGGGGATCTTATTCCCTGACCAGGGATTGAAACCCCTGCAATTGCAAAGTGAATTCTTAACCTCTGGACCACCAGGGAAGTCCCTTTAGTTTTTTTTTTTTACGTTACATTTTCATACTAGTTATTGTTTGTATATGAAACAGCCATTCAAATGCAAATAAAACCATCCCTTAAGTATTACTTTCTTACCAATTCAGGTGGGCAATAATGAAATATTAGCTAAACTCAGTGTCAGTAAGGGAATAGAAAGAAGTTAGCATCCTTACCATATATTAGTGAAAAAAAAACAGGTGTAACACTTCTGAAGAGGATTTTATATATATGTATCAAAGTGTATAAGGAGCATTATCTTTCAACCACTAATGCAACCGCTCAGAATTTGTCTTTAAGACATGATTGCACGGGTTGGAAAAGATGGTTTTCTAAGAATATTTGCAATAATAAAAATTGCAGACAACCTAAAGTTCCATGAATAAGAGATTGAGCAAATTATGTCATCCTCATATAATAGAATAATGTGTGGGTGTGTCTGACTCTTTGCAACCCCATGGACTATAGCCCACCTGGCTCCTTTGTCCATGGAATCTTCCAGGCAAGAATACTGGAATGGGTTGCCATTCCTTTCTCTGAGGAGATGTTCCTGACCCAGGGATTGACCCTGCATCTCTTGAGTCTCCTGCATTGGTAGGTGCATTCTTTACCACTGTACCACCTGGGAAGCCCACAGAAAGGAATAATATCAACCATTAAAATGATTTAGACCTATAAGTTTTCACATATTGTTTGGGGAAAACATCAACTTATAAAAGATTAAGTATGATCTATAATAGACAAGAGTAGGATGCAGAGCAGCACTGGGACCAATTCTCCACCATTGCTCTACATTTCACTTTTCAGTGTTGCTGCAAGGTTTGTTTGGGGGATTTAACACAAGTGGGGATACGTCTAACATAGGAAATGTTTTCTCCAAGTTATTTTCCTCATCTGAAAAATCTTTGCTTTTATCTTATCCTGTTTAATATATGTGAAACTTCAAAACTGAGATTACCAAATATTCTCTTTCCTTTCACAAAGATAGAATCTGTAATATAGAGGATCATGAGATGTGATTTGTGGTAATGGTTTCCTTGTTTTAAGGTATGTGTTTTTAACATATTTGCTATTATTTCTTTTGGTTTTTCTCTTCAGAAACTTGCCCAGGCTTTGCATTGGCTTTGTTTGAACAGGTTATGTTTCATGTTCAAATATTTCCATTCCCTTCTATGACATGTTTTTGCCAAAAAAAAAAAACACCTGTATCTAAGATAGCCTTTAAATAAAAATTCTACTTATAGGACATTTAGAAGTTTTGAGGAGAAAGTACAAGAAGCCAACAGACAAATCCAGAATTCAGACACATAATTTGACATCTTTGTTTCTCCAACAGTTCAAGGACATTAGAGATGGTGGTGGCTGTAAATAGTGTAGGATATAGTTTTAGAATAAATGAGCCTCAGGTGAGATAGCAATCAAATACAATGAATTCATCTATTTGGATACTTACTGGAGTAAACCAGCTGTAAAATATTATTATTATTATTTTTAAGCAATATGACATTTGAAAGGAAATGATAGTGTTAAAGACTGCTTTAAAATTCTTTATGAGTGTGCTCAGTCATGTCTGACTCTTCATAAACCCATGGGACTGTAGCCCGCCAGGCTCCTCTGTCCATGGGATTTCCCAGGCAAGAATACTGGAATGGGTTGCCATTTCCTGCTCCAGGGGATCTTCCTGACCCTGGGCTCGAACCGCATATCTTGTGTTTCCTGCATTGGCAGGCAGATTCTTTATCACTGCACCACCTGGGAAGTCCTTAAAATTCTTTACTAACAAAATTTTAAAGAGATACATGAAGCCAGTGTGGCATAACGTTGATAAGTGTTGAATTTAACCTATATGTATTTAGTACTTCATGTTACTATTCTCAATACTTATGTACTATTTTTAGAAGTTTCACTTTTTAAATTATTTCCTGCCCAGAGGAAAGTGCTTGTAGGTATATGGACTCCATCTCCCACATCAACTTACCTATCCCCCAGCCCTAAATAATAATGACCTCACATTGTCTAAAAAGACTGGTAGAAAAGAAATATTCATAGCAAATATATGGTATCAAAAAGAACAATAGAGGAGTAGTCAAAGGAAAGCTTGAGTTTGAACTTAAAAAATTCCAAGGAAAGAGACTTTTCCCCTATTACAGTATTTTCTCCAGTTCTTTGCCCATGCAGCTCTTCTCATTTGTCAGAAACAAGGAGGCAGTTTGTTTCACGGCCTGTGCTTGGAATTCCTTGTGCTTGGCACCTTGGAGTAAATAGTATATACTAGACAGCAAAGTCAGAAGTAGACGAATACAGGCATATATAGAGACAATGGAGTCAAACCAAGTCGGAGATTCCATGTTCCTTAAGGTCGACGTCCAGTGCAGCACAGAGCAAGTCTTCTTGTCATAGGCATAGCTTTCCTGCTAACATGTGTTCATTTTCTTTACATGTGAGAAGCTTCTCTTTTTCCCCCCTAAATATCTATATTTCCTTTAAATCCACACGTTCTATTTTTTTATTGAAAAAAAAAATTACAAAAAAGAAAAAGGCCAAATGCTAACCGTGCTTAAACGACTCAGATTGAGTTTAACCCAAAGAAATAGTGGAGGGAAGGCGGAATCACTACCATGCAGAGGATTCTGGGAGGTGTAGTCGGAAGCAGTTCCACCCCAGACAGGCAGGGCTGTGGTCCCATACCTCCCATACCCCTTTGGGGTTTCTGGGAACTATAGTTCAGAAGTTTCGTGCAATCAGCAACATTTCCTATTCAGGAGTGCGGGGTGTTGCCCTCTCGGAGAGTCTCCGGAACCTGCGAAGTGACTCGGAAGAACTTCCGTTTCACGGAAGGTTGCGGCCATCACTCCCTTTATGCAGTGGTAACTTGAATCCCAGTAACAGCTCCGCGCTTGCTCAGTCTAGGCAAGGGGCCAACAGTGGTCCCGGAAGAGAAGCGATGGTCGGTGGGTGACAAGGGTTAGAAGCATTTGTGTTTCCTTCTCGGCAGAAAATCCTAGCCTTTGCAGAGCAGTTGGTTGGGAGCGGGCTGGTATAACACATGGCTTTTTTGATGGGTGGGCTTCCCCGGGGAACCCGCCTGCAGTGCAGGAGACCCAGGAGAGACACGGGTTGGATCCCTGGGTAGGGAAGATCCCCTGGAGGAGGGCATGGCAACCCACTCCAGTATTCTTGCCTGGAAAATTCCATGGACCGAGGAGCCCGGCAGGCTACAGTTCATGCGGTTGCACAGAGTCGGACATCACTGAAGCGACTGAGCACGCACTATCCTTGTGACCACTAGCAAAATTTTGGACTTCCCTGTAGCTCAAAGGTTAAGAATCTGCCTGCAATGCAGGAGACCATGGTTCCATCCCCTGCAGAAGAGAATGGCAATCCACTGCAGTATTCTTACCTAGAGAATCTTGCCATGGACAGAGAAGCCTGGTGGGCTACCGTTCGTGGGGTCGCAAAGAGTCAGACACTACTGAGTGATTAAAACTTTCATTTCATTTCACTTCACTCCTGGGTTCTGTATTCCCCGAGCCTCTCCTTGATTCGCAATTAGCACGGCCACTTCCTAGTGTTATAACTTTGGGCAAGTTAATCTCTGAATCAGTCGCTGGGGTATATATAGTACTTAGTGGGATTGTGGAAGTTAAATGAAGTTAATTTTAAAACACGTGGAATAGTAATTGCGCACAGAAAAAGCTGCTCATTATGGATGCACAAAGCTCCAGCCAACAATAATCAATTATGTATGAAACAATTTTAATTTCCCAGTGTTAAGGCAGCATACATAAAAGACAGTCAACTGTGCTTAAAATATTGACCTGTTTGACATATATTAACCTATTTGACATATACTGGCATATGTGCTAGAAAATGGATTAAAATCCTTAACATGAATCTTAAGATAATAAAACCCCAATAGGAATATGGATATGACTACAAAGGATATGAATAGGCAAGTTTCTAAAAGAAGCAATTGCTATAGCAAGTAAATACATGAAAAATTAGATTGATTATCCAATAAGTGAACATGTTTAATCAAGTTGCTTGACTGTGCTCTGGAATCATATGAAATGTAGTTCAGGCTCTAAGGGTAGTAGCTGACCTTCTGTCCTAGGAAGGCAATGACATGGGGGTTCTGGGATGTGTAGTCCAACAACTTTGTGTAGGTGGCCAACTGCCTCTGTAGAGTGGCATGGTGTGACCATTATCTCCTGGGGAATTCTGGGAGCATAATCAAGAATTGTGGGTACACAGAGAATTCAACCTAGTGCTCTGTGATGACCTAAAAGAGGTGGGATTCGTTTTCTGTAAAATAAGGGGCATGACATTACCTACCTAGTAAAATTGGAGAGTTAAATGAGATAGTCACAAATAAAAGGTTGAAAGGTTTCTTTAGTTAATGTATTTCCTGAGGAATGTTCAGTTTAGTTCAGTCACTCAGTCGTGTCCAACTCTTGGTGAACCCATGGACTGCAGCACTCCAGGCTCCCCTGTCCATCACCAACTTCTGGAGCTTGCTCAAACATGACCATACAGTCAGTGATGCCATCCAATCATCTCATCCTCTGTCATCCCTTTCTCCTCCTTCCTTCAGTCTTTCCCAGAATCAGGGTCTTTCTCAATGAGTCAGATCTTCCTGTCAGGTGGCCAAAGTATTGAAACTTCAGCATCAGTCCTTCCAATGAATATTCAGGACTGATTTCCTTTAGGATGGACTGGTTGGATCTCCTTGCAGTCCAAGGGACTCTCAAGAGTCTTCTCCAACACCACAGTTCAAAAGCATCAGTTCTTCGGTGCTCAGCTTTCTTTATGGTACAACTCTCACATCCATACATGACTATTAGAAAAACCATAGCTTTGACTAGACAGACCTTTATCAGCAAAGTAATGTCTCTGCTTTTTAATATGCTGTTGAGGTTAATCATAGCTTTTCTTCCAAGGAACAAGCATCTTTTAATATTATTGTTGCAGTCACCATCTGCTGTGATTTTGGCACACAAGAAAACAGTCTCTCACTGTTCCCATTGTTTCCCCATCTATTTGCCATGAAGTGTTGAGACTGGATGCCATGATCTTAGTTTTTTGAATGTTGAGTTTTAAGCCAGCTTTTTCACTCTCTTTCACTTTCATCAAGAGGCTCTTAGTTCCTCTTTGCTTTCTGCCATAAGGGTGGTGTCATCTGCATATCTGAGGTCATTGACACTTCTCCAGGCGATCTTGCTTCCAGATGTTCAGTTACCTGAAAACTTGTATGAGTCCAGGAAGAGATCAGATTTCCACCTGCAGTACTACTAGCCCTCTGATCCCTGCAGGAATCTGGGCTATTCCTTGATTCCTTCTGGATTCATCTTCTGTCTCAGAAGTGGAGTTGGTATGTGTCTCCAGGATAGTGTGTGTGTACAAGGGATATAGAGTTCTAATTTCTTCCTGCTTCCTTTCCTTTCTTAGCCCTAACTTGAAGAGGGCTATAGGAAGGAGAATTGAATGATTCCAGGTCCTAGCAGCAGAACCTCAGCCTGAATAGGATTTAGCATCCTTCTTTTTGCCATATCATCTCTCTTCTCAGTGGAGAAGTTTCTTTTAATAATTATTACACATTCTGCTACATGTTTAAATATTTGTTGAATAGAATAGGAGTGGTTAGGAGGAATACTTGGGCATAAATAATACTGATAATAGCCATTTTAAGGGCTTGATACAAATCACATTTAATCTCACAAAAGCCCAGGGAGGTGGGTTATCTGCCCATTTAAAAAGGATATTGAAACTCAGCATAATTTTCCTAGCTGAGATCATCCAACTACTAAGAATCCGAGTTGGGAATTGAACCAAGCTATTTGCAGTCCCCAACCTCATTTTAATTTGTTTGTTGTCTAGTCTGGAAGGAATAGTTTGTAAAAGACCAAGAAAGCTATGTAAATGATTGTGTTTTCAGTAAGCTTTCTCAGGCATCTTAAGCTTTTTATTGTATTTTATTTCAAGTAATAGTAAGTTGATCCTTTACTGAAATAATGGTTGAATAACTGAATAATGAAACGCTGTAGATAGTTAAGAGAGTATATAAAGCATAAAGAAAATGCTGAATTCTTAATAATCCCAGAGACAATTACGCTCTGAAAAGGCGATGTTAATGCATTGTCTGCTGGAGAAAATACAGAATTGCGCAGTAGAGCGCTCTAGGTTTGGAAACGTTTCGGCTCCAGGGAGGCGGGGTTACGAAATTCGTTCCGAGCGGGGATGCTGTGAAAATACAATCCACAGGCTCAGTATAGCAACCAGCCCTTTCGAAGGCTAGGACGTGCCTGGAAATTCTGGTTAGTGTAGTATGGGAATACCGTCGTTTAACTTCCGCTCCAGGCGGTGGTTGTGTCCGTGCTCCTGTCGGGAATTCTGGGAAGCGTAGTCCCGGAGGTCTCTGTAGGCAGAGTCACTTCCGGCTCAGGTACGCGAGGCCGCGGCCTTCGTTCCTCTCGGAAAGGTGAGCCCTCCGTTTGCCGGTCCCCTCTCCGCGTCCACAGTGACCTTTCTTCGCTTTGTTGTGGGCCAGCAGCGACCTGGCCCTCGGCCTGCTGTAAGGAACCGCCTGCGGCGCCGCGGGGATGGTGCTCCCTTTGAATAAGCCTCCTGGAGCGCGGGACTGTCAGTGCATCCCCCCGTTTAGGGGCCCCGGCCAGGGCCCTGTGTCGCTGGGTTTGGTTTGTCTCCTGGGTTCTGTACTTTCCCAACCCATTTCCTGACCACCAGCCCGTGATGACGCTTCCTAACGGTATATTCCACGAGAATCTCAACGTCTCTGCCTGTTTCCTCTTTAAAGTTGGCATTAAGTGTCTTCGTGTGTACGTGTGCTCAGTCGTGCCCAACTCTTGCGACCCTATGAACTACAGCCCGGCAGCCTCCCCTGTCCATGGAGTTCTCCGGGTGAGAATGCTGGAGTGGGTTGCCGTGCCGTCCTCCAGGGGATCTTCCCGACCCTGGGATCTAACCCGCGTCTCTTGCGTCTCCTGCCTTGGCAGGCGGATTCTTTACCACTGAGCCATATGGGAAGCCGCAGTGTCAACCTAATAGGGGTAGTTTGAGAGTTAAATGAGAATGCATAGGAAAAGACTTAGAACAGAGGCTACCCTGTGGTTAAAAATCACAGGGTATTTTTACTTGTTACTAGTATTTTTTTAATTTTCCGAGAAGTGCTTGATTCCCTAAAGGCTTCTGTGAACCCGGGTTGGGGTCAGAGCTCTTGCTGTGGTGTTCCTGGCCCTTCTCAGATCCCTGAAGGAGTCAGGGCTGTACCCGGATTCCTAATGATTTTTAAATTTAAATTTTTGGAGAGGGTCACTTCTGACCGTAGTCTGGGATGCACACTGAGATTTATACGGGAATGTTGATAGAATTCTGATTTCTCTCAGCTTCCTTTCTGCTTCACACCTCAACTTCTTGAGAAAGGGAGAAGGGAATGGCCCCAGACAGCAGAGCCTCACCTGAGTGGGACTTAGCGTCCTTCTTCCTCTTATGTCATCTCTTCACAAGGGAGAAGACATTCATGTCACTCATGGACAGATTCTTCTGCTACAAAGATGCCCTGATATTTGTTAAATAAATACTAAAAAGGGATGAGGGAGTGCTTGGGAATAGTTAATAATTACAGCCTGTACTTGCATGCTCAGTCATGTCTGACGGTTTGCGACCCCAAAGCCTGTAGCCCGCCAGTCTGCTCTGTCCATGGGATTTTTCAGGCAAGAATATTGGAGTGGGTTGCTATTTCCTCCTCCAGGGGATCTTCCCGACCCAAGGATAGCAACCCTGTCTCTTGTGTCTTCTGCATTGGCAGGGGGATTCTTTACCACTGAGCCACCTGGGAAGCTAATAATGA